CCAGTAAGGCTACCATTTATCCATTCACTTAATCAAACAAATTTTCCATTTACCTTTAATTTTTAGCTTTCCAATTTAACTGTAAATCACGTAAAACAAGCAATACATGCATCAAGGAAATACAATCGAATCATCATACCAATTCCAGTGTATTATCATGCATTCAAAACTATAAAATTAATTAATCAATTCAACATAACAAATAGTAATAAATGATCAGTTCTGCCTCTATTAGTAACCTTTAATTATCGATAATTCTAAATTATGCAAAACACTATATTATTTATAATTAAACTTAAATTTTATAACAGGAAATAAGGTAATAGATTCTTACTCGGATCGGTGTCCAAAACGCTAAACTTGTAGTTGCGCCTACTAGCGGTCTCCAGGTTCCCTGACTTTTCATTCGAGGATTAGAACACGCTCTAAGTATCTAAAAATACCTTTAAAAACCTAAAATCAGTGATAGAAACTTTTTTCGGCCAATTTTGGGATTCCAACATTGTGCTGCCTCCGTGCTCCGGCGACGTCACCACCGTCCATGGCTGTGGTTTGCCTCGGACTGGCTGTTTTTGGCCAGTTTCAGCCTATTTTTGCCAGTTTTGTGCTCATTCCTGCGAGAAATCATGTTAAGGGGCCTCGGTTGGCCGAAATAAGTCGAAAAATATAAGCTTACTGGCTTTGGGGTTTTCCGGTGTGGTGGCTCCGTCGACTCACCTTCGCAGTTAAGTGTTTTGTTTTGGTCAACCTATAGAAAAAGGAATGGTGATTATAATAGTAGAAAAATTGTACGAAATGGGAATCAGGAAGGGTCTCATCATATGCGATTTTTAATTTTTCCCACGGTTGTGCCGCCGGACTTTACCCGCAATTTTTGGCTTATCCGCCGATCTTTTTACTCCGATTAGGCCATGGGTATTTTCAAAATTAAATTTCGAGCAAATGAAATTTTTGTTACCTTTTTTGGCAGTCGGAGATGGCTTCAGCATGGCGGAGGACGGCGGTCGGCTCCCTTTCCGGCGACTGGTTCTTCTTCTCCGACGGGAGGGGGGGGGGGTGGGTGCGTCTAGGGTTAGAGTTTGGTGTGAAGCGAGGTATTTATATCCGTCTCCTTTTAATTTGAACCGTTCATCGCGATTTGATCTAGATTGTTCGATCACGTCTAAATGAAAAGTGAATCTGGACCATTCATCGTGATTTGATCTGAACCGTACGATTGTGATTAGCGGGAGATCGGATCTGGACCGTCCATACGCGCGGGAACAAATTTGAACCGTCACGCAGGAACAAATTCGGACCATCGCGGTCACGCGGATTGTTAGCATGGCCTTCCGCGTGGCACCGCGCCAGTGTGCCTTGCCACGCGGCGTGCTCTGGTTCGTCGAAGCTGCTGATTGGGCGTCCAATGTGGGACATTTTCTTAAATTATATTTTGACCCTCAATTCTAAGTTTTCTTTTAAAAACACCTTCAAGACTCAAATTTTCACATATTTTTTCAAAATTATTTTCAATTTCATTATTCACTTGTTTTTTTTTTCATTTTTACATTAAATAAAAATTTAAAAATTATATTTATACATTAATTTTAAATATATTAAAATTAATTTCGGATATTACATTATAAACTATCATTTTATTTGCTTTCAGATATTTCTTTAAGTTGATATTTTTAAAAGTAATACTAATAGATGCTTTTTTTTCTAAAAAAAGAAAAAAAAATGTAAATATTGACTATCTTTAATAAATAAATATTAAATTATAAAATATCTAAAGAGCTCAACCTTATTTGTTTTGTCACAATTTTTTAAGTTGATATTTTTTTAAAGTAATACTATTATATATTTTTAGAAAAAAAAAAGAGATATATAAATATTGATGATAGTTAATAAATAAATATTAAATTATAAAATATCTAAATTTTATTTATTTTTAAAAACAGAAGCCGTCAATTTTTTTTAATTCAAACATAAATAATTTATCTTTAATGTAAAAAATTAATTTCAAATATTGTCATCTATCTTTTTTAAGAGACGCGATAATATTGTTGATAGACGCAAGCATTTAAAATAATACTTACAACGATATTATATTTGATGTAACATATATTATACAATTTAATCAAGATGTGAAAATTTTTTATATGAATTAATGTAGTAAAATATTAATTACTTTTCAGAATAAATTAATAATTCCTAGAAATTGAGTCCACCGACAGCCGGTTGGGTAATAAACGAAAGCAACCGGTGATAGCCAGTACCACTTAGGACAGGCTGTTAACAGCAAATAAAATGTGGCAAAAAAGGAAAGTAAACATCAATTTGTCTTTTTGTTGACAGATACGGCTCAACGAGAAACTCATGACACGTGTCTTTTCTCTATTGGTTAATATAAGCCCTTGTCAAAATTTAGCTTTTAAGCCAAATTTTATTACAAGACAACAATCTGGCTCTGACATGTAATAATCCAGTTTAAACGAAAGTATCCAGTTGCTTAGTTCGCTCTACTTGATTTTCTTGTCGGCTCGGCTCACATGTCGGAGCCGAACTGGAGCTCAGTTCCTCAGTGTTGCCAGCGAGAGTTATTAAAGTTACTTCCAGAATATATTATTCGTAAAAAAAAAAAAAAAAAAAATCGTAATACAGACAATATAAAATAAAAAATTTAGTATGCTAAATATATATATTTCAAGCTATAAAATAAATTTCATAAAAAAAACTGTTAATTAAAATTTATGTTGTTATTATCATATAAAATGTATATATTAGTAATGATATGTTTTAAGTATATGTTATAAAAGAAAATTAAACGTTAGACACTAAAGTAATTTATTATGATAATTGTTGAATATGTGATAATTAAAAATAATATATTAATTATATTTAATTAGAACATAAAAATAATAAACTTAATTACTCATTAGTAATATTAGTTAAATACATAATTTAAAATACAGAAGTTAAAATTTTTAAAATAATATACAATGTATGTGGTAATTAAATTAATCATTTATTACTTAAATATCTATAATATATAAGGCATATATAATTAAATCAATTAAATTGTTAGAAAAATATATATGCAATTAATTAATTGTAAAATAATCAATAGTATTTGATAATGTGGTTAATTATAAATTACTGATATGTTCATCTAAAAAAATTATATATTATTTACATGTGTATATAACTAAATTGCATTTAACTAATTAATTGTATAAATAACTAATAATGTTTGATGACGTGGCTTAACTTGGCGTTAATTTTTACGTAGCTTATACGTACATCATTTCAAATTGAACCTATTTATTGAATATTAAGTACTAGGGTCACTTAAAAATATATTGTATGATTTTATTTTTAAATTAAATTATATAATTTTTATAATATGTTATAATCTTAAATTTGGTTTTTTTTATAATATTTAATACTACAATTGGTTAAGTTAGTGAAATATTACAAAAAAAATGATAAAATTTGATGTTAAAAATATAATATTAAATAAATATGTAATATATTTTAATTTTTATTTATTTGATTTAATTTAAATGAAAACTTTGAACTTATTATTTATTTTAATAAAAAACATATATACCAACTATTTAATTAATTAATATTTTAATTTTAATTTTCAGCAAAATTAATTTTTTATACAACAATATCAAAACTTTTTGACAATATTAACACATAATATTTAATTTAGTTTTTTTTTCAACTTATTGCTTATAAACTCAAATAATAAAGGCTTATAATATAACTTATTACAAACAAAAGCATATATTATAATGAATAGTTAAGGTGATTTCTCAATGAATCTCCACGGCCAACCCGCGGCCGGGGTTAGGTACGCAAGCAACCGGTTCAGGCGGTAAATGTATGAGGTCATAAATAATTATTAATAAAATAAATAATCACACACAAACGAAACGATAAAATGACAAGTTAATGCATAAGTGACAGAGAAAGAGGAAGAGTGGATAGCTGGAACGAGTAGAGAGAGAAAGAGAGAGAGCAATGGCGTGTTGAGTGGGTGAAGAACTCACAGTCTCTCTTTACTCCCCTACCAAAGATACGTTTATTTGTTCACATTGAGAAGGGATCCCGACAGATCTACTGTCATTTCTGAGAAAACTGGCATATCGAAAACATGGAAGCGAATGCCGGAATGGTGGCCGGTTCGCACCGGAGAAACGAGCTGGTTCGGATTCGCCACGATTCATCCGATAGTGGGGTTTGTGATTTAGCTATCTATTTAAATTTATGGTTCAAGATTGTAAATTTAACCATTATTGTTATTATTTTTTAATTTGTTTGCTTATGTGGAGTAATTCGATCGGGCACTTGCATTGCGGTGTGTAGATCTGATCTGACGTCTGATTGTGGGAAAATGACTTTTGAGCTCACTGTTTAGTAGTCATCTTCAGTGATTTTAAGAGTGGTTTTTGATGGGTTTAACGTAAGCTGATAGATTTTCCAGTATCAATCTGGAAAGCTAATTTGATAGAAAATGAAATATCGGACCTTAGATCCGAGTTCTGGTTGTGTGATTACGTGTTTTCCGGTTCAAAATTGGTCGCGATCGTACTTTGGTATGGAAGTATTACTTTGGTTCGTACTCTATGTGACGTTTCTTGGATGAAATTTACGGGCTTGATTTTGATTTTGGATGTTTAAATCAGTGTGCTGGTATTAGAGAGTGAAATTCATTTTTGAAACTTTAAATTTGTGATGATTATTCACGGTGTTCTAGTCTGAAATTTGTAATTATTATTGACAGTGTTCTAGTCTGAAATTTGGTTTTTCGATTGGGATTCATGTATTTTCGGGCTGTAGATCATGTTGGGGTCTTTGCTCTTATTCTGTTGGTGCTGTACTTGTTCTGAGTTTTAGATTGTATCATTTTCGCTTCTGGGAATTTTTTGTCGTTTATTTTCTTAGCATTTGTTGGTTGTTCCATCAAAGCTACATTTTACCTGGGAGCTTGACAGTCTACACAAACTGAAGAACACCGTTGCAATTGAAATATTTTCGCTCATGCTATTCTTCTTTCCCTTGATAAGATGAAGTTTCCAGTCTGCTGATCTCCCTTACTTCTTATGTTGTCCTGTTACATTTGGCTGATGCTTCAGTCTAAATTTTGTTCAAACAGTTCTTTAGATGTGTTGTTCCCTTATTTACTGGTCCATTTAATTGCTTTAAGAACTTTCAGATTGATCAGGCATCGAGAAGAACTTCTTTTGTGTTTCTGGAAATTAATGTCATTTGGATTTATTTCCTTTCCAGGCTAGACTGTGGTTTCTGTTCAAAATTCAGTATTCAGATTAATCATTTGTTTGGATATTACGTTGACATATTGCATACTTTTTTAACAGCATCTTTTGCTTTTCTTCTTTTTGCTTTCCTTTTTCCTCTTGGAATTCTAACCAGTTTTTCGCCTGTTGATAATGAATGCAGCCCAAACCTCTGAAGCATTTAAATGGCCAGATGTGTCAGATCTGTGGTGATACAGTTGGACTCACTGCCAGTGGTGATGTATTTGTTGCTTGCAATGAATGTGGTTTTCCAGTTTGCCGTCCTTGCTATGAGTATGAGCGGAAGGATGGAAGTCAATCTTGTCCTCAGTGCAAGACCAGATACAAAAGGCAGAAAGGTTAGTTTGTTTATTTATCATCTCAGTTCAACCTTTTCCGGTGGTTTTAACGCTAGAAACACATTGATGATGAGGATGATGTTTCAGGAAGTCCTCGTGTTGATGGGGATGATGATGAGGATGATGTTGACGATTTGGAGAATGAGTTCAATTATTCTCAAGGAAATAACAAGGCAAGACGTCAGTGGCAGAGTGAAGATGGAGAATTTTCATCATCCTCTAGACATGAATCTCAACAACCGATTCCTCTTCTCACCCATGGCCATACGGTAGGCGTAGTCCTAAATTCTCGGAACAAGTTGGGGATCATTTTTAGCCTTCCAAAAAATTTCTGGTTATTAAGTCATTTGAACGTATTTCAGAAGAATCTGTGTCAAGTTGTTATAGATGCAAGTGCAAGCTTGTTTTAACCGTGGTTTTCTGAAATCATCTCATAAATCATCTGCATGCTTTTGGAGCTCTGATGTGAAAGATTGAGAGATTTTGTTGTTTAGTTGGTTTTTGAACTTCTAATTTGTTGAATTTGGGTGCAGACAAATATTGCAGGGACTTCGCTGTCCATTATCTTAACAAATTTTTTACTTGAAAACTCATTTCAGCTTGGCATGTTTGGTCCCCAAAAAACTGACTTTTTAGATACCCTTGTTTTTACTAATTCTTAGCACAATTCCTAATTCTTTTGTTGTTTATGTATATCACGCCTTGATTAGAGTAATGCCAAAAGTAGCTTCGTTTTTTTTGAATTGATGATTGTAAAAGATTCTTGTTGAATTGATGATTTTAAATGATTCTTATTCTTCTTGTAATCATAAAAACTATTTTAAGACAGGGAAACCAAGGTTTTTTTTTTTTTTTTTTTTTTTAAGTTTAGATTGCAAAATGATCTTTTATCAAACTTGCAATTGTATGAACAGTCAATGTCTTACATCATTCTGTTATTCGCATCTAAATTTGTTTTGGAACTCCATATGCTTAGTGATGTGCATTATATATTCAGGTATCTGGGGAGATTCCTACACCTGACAACCAATCTGTTAAAACTACATCAGGTCCTTTAGGCCCTTCCGAGAAGAATGTTAATTCTTCTCCTTATGTTGATCCAAGGCAGCCAGGTATCAATGTAACTTGAGTTGTTCATTTAAAAACCCTCACAGTACTTGCTGTATCATTTTATAGTTTTATGACTTCTCAATTTATTGCATAATCTACTCTTGCAGTTCCGGTTAGAATTGTTGACCCATCAAAAGACTTGAACTCCTATGGGCTTGGAAATGTTGATTGGAAAGAAAGGGTTGAAGGTTGGAAGCTCAAACAGGAGAAGAATATAGTGCACATGACCAACAGATACCCTGAAGGGAAAGGAGACATAGAAGGCACTGGTTCAAATGGAGAAGAACTTCAAATGTGCGTTTGTTTCTAGTTGAATAGTACACAAGTCAAATTTACTGCTTGAAAAATCACTTTTAGGATTGTAGAAGTTACACGTTGTTGATCATTTGTTATCAGCTCTGTAAAAATATAGGCATGCTTTATGATTTATGGAAAGTGAATGACTTACTCTCAACTTAATTTTGAGTCTTTATTTTTGCTCAAAGACTAATAGATTTTGCATCACAGGGCTGATGATGCTCGACAACCTCTGAGTCGTATAGTGCCTATTTCTTCATCTCACCTGACCCCTTATCGTGTTGTGATCATTCTTCGGCTTATCATTTTGGGCTTCTTCTTACAATATCGTGTAACTCATCCCGTGAAAGATGCATACCCATTGTGGCTGACCTCAGTTATCTGTGAGATTTGGTTTGCCTTATCTTGGCTTCTAGATCAGTTTCCAAAATGGTCTCCCATCAATCGAGAGACTTATCTTGACAGGCTGGCATTAAGGTCATTTGCGATTATTTTACTTTCTGTGGTGGCTAATTGAGTAAAGTTTCTGTAAATTTTGAAGGCTAGTTGTTATTTATCATATCTTTTATTGCAGATTTGATCGGGAAGGTGAACCATCACAACTAGCTCCAGTTGATGTGTTTGTCAGTACAGTGGACCCCCTTAAGGAGCCTCCTCTTGTAACAGCAAACACTGTTCTGTCAATCCTTGCTGTGGACTACCCTGTGGACAAAGTATCTTGCTATGTTTCAGATGATGGTTCAGCAATGTTGACTTTTGAAGCCCTTTCTGAAACTGCAGAATTTGCAAGGAAGTGGGTGCCTTTTTGCAAGAAGCACAACATTGAGCCCAGAGCCCCAGAGTTTTATTTTGCCCAGAAGATAGATTACTTAAAGGACAAAATTCAGCCTTCTTTTGTTAAAGAACGCCGAGCGATGAAGGTGAGTCATGTGATACTTGATACTTGTTTAGTGACTTGCATCAGAGATAAAATCCGTACTTCAGTTTTCAACACAAGTATTCTAGTCAATCAAATTGTTTTCCAATGAATTGACAGAATATTTCCAGTTATCTATACTTTATGAAATCACAATAGTGAGTGGGAAGTTTATACTGTTGTTTCTCTTATGCTTGCTGAACATCCGTAATTGTTATCAGCTCAGTCAATTTTAATGCCTTATCAAGTTTAACAAATGCTAAAAAGAATTGAACATTTGGCAACAGAGAGAATATGAGGAATTCAAGGTGCGTATTAATGCCCTTGTTGCAAAAGCTCAGAAAATGCCTGAAGAAGGTTGGACAATGCAGGATGGTACTCCCTGGCCTGGAAATAATCCCAGAGACCATCCAGGAATGATCCAGGTACTATCATCCGTACATGCACATACAGTGTTGTCTTTTCTCTTTACACTTTTGTTGCAATCAGTTCCTAACCTGTTACTATGTATTATTCTTAACAGGTCTTCCTGGGCCACAGTGGAGGTCTTGATACTGATGGAAATGAGCTGCCTCGACTTGTTTATGTTTCTCGTGAGAAGCGACCGGGCTTCCAACATCACAAGAAAGCCGGTGCCATGAATGCATTGGTTGGTAATCCTTGAACCTTATGTCCCACCTTGCTACATTTTCTCATGACCAATTTGCTGCAATAGTGGTTTGAACATTACTTTAATTCATTTATACATCATTAATTTTCTAGCATGATATTTTTAATCTTCTGCTGTGCTAAGGCAAGAGCAGTCTGCCATTTGAGCCCTGACCTCTCCTATGAGGGCCTCTACTCCCACAGGGTGGGTATTGTATCAGAGTGTGTTAAGTGACCATATAGTCCCACGAGCTTGGTCTTGTAGCATAATGTGTTAGTTGCTAGAGAAGTTAATTTATTCTAGGTGCATTTATGCTGAAAGATGGTTAGAAAAAGACCACTGGCTGGATGTTGCATATGGTAACTGTTACCAATTACATGGGCAGTAAGCGTACTGCTTGGTGATTACTAGTGTGGACTTCATTTATAAAAGGATGCTTGCTATCCATTAATAATAAGGCGAGCTTGTGGCCAATTTACATTCTCTCACAGGAAGATAAGATTATGTTCGCATGACAAACTGTGATTCAACAATGGGTTGAAATGAACTGGGGAGACCTGTGTGCATATTTGATTGGTTATCTTTCTTAGGTTTGTTGGTGTTATGCAGATTCGAGTTTCAGCTGTGTTGACCAATGGAGCATTTCTGTTGAACGTGGATTGTGATCACTACTTCAATAACAGCAAAGCTCTTAAAGAGGCCATGTGTTTCTTGATGGATCCTGTTCTTGGAAAGAAGACCTGCTATGTACAATTCCCACAACGTTTTGACGGCATTGACTTGCATGATCGATATGCCAATCGTAATATCGTTTTCTTTGACGTGAGTACCAAGTGATATATCATGAAAATTCATATCTTTCCCATTTTATGGTTATTTGACATGGTATGGACTTGTATATTTTTGCATTGTAGATCAACTTGAAAGGGCTGGATGGTATCCAGGGACCGGTCTACGTGGGAACTGGTTGTTGTTTCAATAGGCAAGCTCTATATGGATATGATCCTGTTTTGACTGAGGCAGATTTGGAGCCAAATATTATTGTGAAGAGTTGTTGTGGCTCAAGGAAGAAGGGAAAGAGTGGGAATAAGAAGTACATTGACAAGAAGAGGGCAATGAGAAGAACTGAATCCACTGTTCCTATTTTCAATATGGAAGACATTGAAGAGGGTGTTGAAGGTCGGTCTGCTCTTGCTTTTAAATATTACGTTTTGTTAAATTTTCCTGTGCATTAATATGCTTGTCCTGACGTTAATCTTTGCAACTCGTTCACAATATTAAGAAAAAATTGTTTTAAGTCCTCGCATTTTCAATTGTGCAGGGTATGATGATGAGAGGTCTCTTCTCATGTCTCAGAAGAGCTTGGAGAAGCGTTTTGGTCAATCCCCAGTATTCATTGCCGCCACCTTCCAGGAACAGGGAGGAATTCCACCATCAACCAACCCTGCAACTCTTCTTAAAGAGGCAATCCATGTCATTAGCTGTGGATACGAGGACAAGACTGAGTGGGGCAAAGAGGTTAGTTCATGCAGCATATAGCTTCCTAGTCATACATCTACATAGTTTCTTGAAAAATGCTACTTAATATGGTTTTATACCAATATATGCTTGATAAAAGCCTTCTCTCCTGCATCAGATTGGATGGATCTATGGTTCTGTGACGGAAGATATTTTAACTGGGTTTAAAATGCATGCCCGTGGTTGGATATCAATCTACTGCATGCCTCCTCGCCCTGCATTCAAAGGGTCTGCACCTATCAATCTTTCTGATCGTTTGAACCAGGTTCTTCGGTGGGCCTTAGGGTCTATTGAGATTCTGCTCAGTAGGCATTGTCCCATATGGTATGGCTACAACGGAAGATTGAAGCTTTTGGAGAGACTTGCATACATTAACACCATTGTCTACCCCCTAACATCTATCCCATTGCTGGCTTACTGTACACTCCCTGCTTTTTGCCTTCTGACTGGAAAGTTCATCATTCCTGAGGTGAGCCGAACTTAATATTCTGGTAACATCTGATGGCTGTAATTATGTATCTTTCTTGCCTCCTGATGTTATACTTTTGATACGCTTGCCGGAAAAGTGCTTTATTTGCGACAAGTCCTGCATGCCATGGTGTAGTTTGTTTTAATTTGGAATGGATGTAGGAAGGTGTTAGAGGCTCCACATCGATTTATTAGGCCTACTATGATTCATCCTTTGTTTTACCTGTCTAGCATATCCTGTATTCTATATCTTCATCATGCTTATTGATGAATTTTCATGAAATACATGCAGATAAGCAATTTTGCTAGCATGTGGTTCATTCTTCTCTTCATCTCTATCTTTGCTACCGGAATACTTGAGCTTCGTTGGAGTGGTGTTAGTATCGAGGACTGGTGGAGGAATGAACAGTTCTGGGTCATTGGTGGTACATCAGCTCATCTTTTTGCAGTCTTCCAAGGGCTTTTGAAGGTACTTGCAGGAATTGACACCAACTTCACTGTCACGTCAAAGGCCTCTGACGACGATGGGGATTTTGCAGAACTTTATGTGTTTAAATGGACATCTCTTCTAATCCCTCCAACTACAGTCCTCTTAGTGAATATGGTGGGAATTGTTGCTGGTGTGTCTTATGCCATAAACAGTGGCTACCAATCATGGGGTCCTCTATTTGGTAAGCTTTTCTTTGCCATCTGGGTCATTGCCCATCTTTATCCTTTCCTGAAAGGTTTGCTGGGCCGGCAAAATCGGACACCCACCATCGTCATTGTCTGGTCAATCCTTCTTGCCTCCATTTTCTCCTTGCTTTGGGTCCGGATTGACCCCTTCACTGCAGGCACCAACAAAGCTGCAAATGGTCAATGTGGCATCAATTGTTAATTTGTTACAAGGCCATAAAAGCCGGGTCTCTCTCCTTCGAGCTCACTCGTGTATATAACAGGAAAGTCAAGAGGATTACCAAAATGTCAACACCATCTAAATTATATACCGTTCTTGAATGGAAGTACTTTTGCCTGGAGCTTTTGATGGATGATGAAGGAGAAAAGTATTTTGTATGATTTTTTTAGGGGTATAATCTATAGTTCTAGCAAGCTTCTATGGTGGATCTCCAAATACTATTTGTACTCATTGCAGACCTAAAATTTAAACTTTGTGGTGTTATTGTGCAGCCTTCTGTAATTCTATTCTAAATGGTTTTTTGGTTCAGAACATATGGATATTGGATAGTATCTGTTCATCTAATGCCATCCAAACAACTCTAATTCTTTCCAATTTTGAGACTTCACTATTATTTGTCTTGTTGATGGGTTTGGATATAAATTTTTTTATAATTTATTAGTTTTTCAAAATTATATATATATATTTAATCTTAAAATTCCTACACGTATAAATATCTATAATAAATTATTAATTTGATATAAAATAATAGAAAATTAAACAACAAAGTCTTGAATATCATAAAGATTGTACTAAAATAAACTTAAATTATCCTTTCGTTTATGTTCATTTAATTGATAATTCTTAATACCCACAAGTCCATTTTATTTAGGTGATTTAATATTTTATGAAGTTATTAATACAAATAAAATACTAGATTATATATATATATATACGTATATACCAATACTATATCCTCATTCTCTTAATAATGTAATAGAAATATCATCTTATAAAATTTAACTAATCATTTCAAAATATTTTTATACAATTTACTGTTTATCACACGAATATTAATTAATTTTGGGTATTTGCTAATGATTTAGGGGGCACTGTTCAGCCTTTTTTTAAAAAAAAAAACTTTTTTTTTTTTTAGGAAAATAAGTCTATTTTATAACGGTAATTACAGTTAAAGGAAAACGACGTCGTTGGGCATCAAAGCTAATCCAAAAACCCTTCAAAAATGCATCCAGGGTTTTGTGAACTCTCAGTCTCTCAGGTAGCCTCCCTTGTATAACCTTTTTCATTGCTGGAGTTTCTAGAGGGAGAAAAATCTAGTTTGAGGTTTCCCCATCTCCATAGAGTATTGTTATAGAAGGAGCAATTATTAGGGTTTTTCTTTTTCTCTCTGTAGAGCTTGAAGGGAATGGAGGTGATAACAGAGGGAGTTTCGAACATAAACATCTCGGATTCTTCTTCTGCCAACAAGAAGAACCGAATCCAAGTCTCTAACACCAAAAAGCCCCTCTTCTTCTATGTTAACCTCGCCAAGGTGCTGTTTCTCTGCTTATCAATCCCTTTTATGGTTGCTTCCTGTTCAGTTGCTGAAAATTTTGGGATAAACGGAATTAAATAGATAGTTTGGTGCTTTATTTGTTTGGTTTGTCTACTATCTTCTACAGGTGTCTTATTTCTAGCTAGGGTTTCTTCTCTCTTTTTTATTCTATCTCCGGAGATCTGTCAAGAGCTAGGTTTATCATTGGAATCTGCTTTGATTGCAGAGAAAGTTGTGGAATAGAAATTGATCCTAGACTAATATTTAGGCCTTTTCAAATGCTTACGTGTTCATACTTTTGACGACGGATGTTTTATGGTTAAGTTTATAAAATTGATTAGGGGAAGAAAGTTGTCTTGTATGATGTATAGTACGGATTATGGATGAGACCATCTATTAGACTCATCTTCACGAAATTGTAGTATTTATGTGTTTCTGGCTTATTATGCACCATCTATTTGTTCAGTTATTGAAAAATATTCTGAATTGAGACTCGAAGTTAGTAGCTTGGCTGTGTTGGTTAAACAGATAACAGAAACTTTATCACTTCTCTCTCTCCAGATATGTTGATCTTTAGCATGACCATGAAGCAAATAGTGTTCATCTTTCTAGTCTGAAGAATCTTTTACTTACCTTCTATGAAATTTCTCCTTTAGTCTTCTTGTTGATATAGTGATTGCCTGTGCAGAGGTACATGCAGCAGCACAATGAGGTGGAACTCTCAGCTCTTGGAATGGGTATTTATCCTCAGCCATCCTGTTGCTATCATATATGCATATATTTGCTGTTTTGGTGTTAGCAGTGCGGATGCTTATATTTTTGCTTTTGATGCTCAAGGAACCATGTTTTTTAATTCTCATTGATGTTTAAGAATGGAAAGAATTTACTTCACACCCCAAGAAGGGTGATAACTTTTGTTGCTGTTATTCTGTGAAAAAAAGAGGAGAGGGTACTTCATTGTTGTGGCTTAGTACTTTTAAGGAAACCGAACTAGCTAACATGGTGGGCATAGTTCCTACTTTGTTGAAGAATGCGTTGCTCTATGGATATACTCTGTTTATGTGTTTGAAGAGACTGACCTTTCTGGAGTCTCTTAGTTTTATTTGTCTGAATTTGTAAATCGGAATGCATCTTGCTTAAATAGAGGACTGACTTTCCTACGGTATACATCTGCAGCCATTGCAACAGTTGTTACAATTGCTGAGATCTTGAAGAACAATGGACTGGCTGTTGAGAAAAGTAAAATCCTTCCTTGTCTCGTTTGGTTTCCAAATATATATTGAGAACTTGAACTTAATTGTCTTGATATACCAAACACAGGAATCATGACATCTACTGTAGACATGAGGGAAGAAACAGGAGGACGCCCTGTTCAGAAAGCAAAGGTAGATCCCTTTTTAAGTCATTGTATATTTTGCTTGTTCTACATCATCGGGCTCTTTATGATTGATCTTAGTTAGTTTTTCCTCAATGCATCATTTATTTTAAGAACCTCAGGATTGTTTGGTGCATGCACACCAGTGAATTTCACTGGGATGTACTGTTGATAGCTTTCAAGATTAGCTTAAGGACACCTTCTAAGTAGTTTGAGTTGCTGCCAATGGCAGATTTCCCTGTTTTGAGTGATCTTTAGGTCTATAGGGCAAAGTGGCACAGTTGCTGCTTGATGAATCTCTCACTGGAAGTCTTCTGGCTGCTCATCTTGGGTCCAGCAGCTGATGTTTATGTTTGTCGCTAGGATTTCCAAATTAAGTAGATCCAATTTTGTCTACTTTTTGTAATTTTGTCTCTGTTGAGACTTGAAAGACTAACAATATGGAGCTATTTTGGTAGATTGAAATCTTGCTTGGAAAGACGGAGAAGTTTGATGAGTTGATGGCTGCTGCACAGGGGGAAATCATAGACAATGAGGAGCAGAGCTAAAGCTCGAGACGAGTTTCCTTAAAAGTCAGCATGTTCTTAGTGTCCAAGTTGTGAACCTCTATTAGTTATTCTTAATGTTTTTTAAATTAATTTTCACTAGCTGCCATGACTTTTCTAGGATTTCTTTTTCTTCTTTATCTGTTTGTAAAAAATTATGTTTTTCTTGTTAAAAATTCAAAATTGTTTAAAGTTCATGCTTCCTCAAGGATAATCCGCTTTTACCAACCAAACTATCATATCTACACTTCAGGTTGACCGGTTTCTTTACGTGTAGATATGATGCCATTGGCTCCATTGGTTTTGAAATTATATTTCTGTGGAATTTGTGCCAGATAGATTTTGGTGCAAAAATGAACTAGTAAGAATTTGAGCACATTTTGTACCGTTCTAGATATCTTAAGTTGAAGAACTAGTGGATCTGAGTATTGCACCAATCACAATCAGCATCCTAAAAGTACGAGTTAAATAGGATTGACAATGACAATATAAATTAAGAAAATTGTCTCTATATTTTCAAGTGTCACTTTACTGTTTAGAGGCTTGATTGAATTGCTCATATATATATATATATATTTGTATGACTAATGGCTTTGCAGACAAATTAAACATCCATGGCGAGAGAATATCCCAATAGCAATGCTCATGAAAGGTTTCCACTGATATTTACAAATTTCCAAGTAGTAAAATCATTACTTGTTTGTTCTCGCAATTAAACAAATGCAGTGCAATAACGAATCACTGCTTTACGCCTCGAAATCTTTTTGCACTAAAGTAGGTATCAATAGATGCGCAAGCAGTGCACAAGTCCCAGAAAAACTCTCGGTTATTATTTAAGAAAAACCAAAGCAACAAAGAAGAAAAGAATTTTATGACATGTTTGATTGTTCAAACCTCACGAGTCTTCCAACAAAGTGTTTTAACTGCGCCCTGAACCCTGCAAAAAAGAAGAGCGAGAAGAGCATGCAAAATAATAAAAAAGCATGTCTCTCTCTTTCCCTCATCCAACCAATCATTT